CCAGAACCAGCATCTTCAATTATTTTGCGGTGTGTATGGTCACTGATGTCGCTTGAAGCCAAGAGTAAATCAGGAGTTGTTCTGGTTCCATTGTAGTGCAAATATGTAGCCGGATCCTCATTGCTGTAAATAAGTTCCAGAGGGTTGCTGTTTAGCATGTCTTCGATTTTCTTTCCAGCTATATTTGTATCCTTGTAGCCCCATCTGGTGGAATGGGCGTTGAAGTCTCCTAGTACTATAGTTTTGTGTGAGATGTTCAGAATGTCAAAGTTGGGACAATTCTGGGGTGGATTATAGACTGCATATACCTTAAAGTGGTTTTGACATTTCCAAACATTTAATCTGATTATTTCACATTTGTCTTGTGTCGAGCCCATACTCTTGATTAGATCGTAGTGTGAGGTGAGGCCTTCTTTAACTCCAGTTAGAATTCCACTTGCAACTTGCTGGTATTTAGGTAGATTGTACAGGGTGTAACCTGGTAATTGGTAATTGGTCGAAGTCGAATCAGAAATGGTTATGGCAATTGCCTTGTCTGAATGGCTTATCCAAGTGTCTATTTAAACAAAGTTGGTCATTTGGCTCCGCATATGGCCAACATGTGTGAGATAAAATTGGATTTGAAAACTATTCCGCTATCTCTTATTAATAGAGTGATTTGCCGTGTGTTTTCGATTGTGTACGATAATACCTTTTTTTACTAAAAATAAGGGCGGTTGACAAACTTAAAATTCTATGTCACTCATGCACCATACTGTAATTTCAAATGTCAAACTTCTTTGTCATGGAAATCACTGATATTAGAGTCACGATGGTATCAAACCAACATGAGAATTTCAAATGCAAATTTATTTATATCAAATAGTTTGATAGTTACAATTAGCCCTTTAGTTGACGTCGTGTTTTGCAGAGTGGAGGAGCATCAAAGTCACAAAAAGTTGAGAGGGGGGAACAGAATAGTGATTCACAGTTTATAAAGAGAGACGGATACAAAGGTAGAAAAAAAGGTGAGGTGAGTACTGTGAAAGTGGTCAAATATGACATACAGTGTGGGTGATGGTAGTTTGAGGTGAGAAGTCAACTGCCGGTTAAAAGGCTTTTTTGCCGTATGAGTATATGTTGCCCAGTGTACACCACGTGGAGTTAAGTCTACCCTACTTCCCTTCAAATTTAAATAAAATAGGGGAAATTGGAAAAAATATATAATACCCACCTCGAATATCCATGCATTTCCGTCTACCAAAGGTTAAATGATTGATTTCAGATAAGTAGCCTACTTTGATTGAAAACTCCTTAGTACCCCTATCTACTACTGAGTAATCACATTGAAAAATGATTTTGGCACTATGTCTGTGCAGACCTAAAATTTTTGCCATATGCAAACTGGTGAAATGCCCCAAATCATTTTAAAAAATGAAAACAAGGAATGTAAATTGATCGTAAATTCTAGCCCATGTAGCGTAATTAACGCTTTTCGTAATAATCTAAATGTGTGCATTTTCAACGCGAAATTCAAATGTATAATTTACATACTTAAGTGATGTATTTATACGTGCTAATTGTTTAACAGACCAATAACTGGTTGATTATTTTGCAGATGTGACAAAGGTATTCACGAAAACTACACAGTTTTTTGAACCTCAAATCCCCCTTCATGCATATACGCGATGTCAACAAGAAGAGATGGTGATTGGATTCCGCCTGAATCATGGGTGCGAATAACTTGAGGCTCGATCATTCACACCGACTCTCAAGTCAATAAGATTGCTAAGAAAAATTTCGGATGAACTGGAGAATTAAAATAGTGACATAAAAGACCATTTGATCGGATCATAACGCCCACTCACAGTGAATTCTCTGAAAATAAAACTGGTGCTTTAAAGGTGTCGGAGTAGACTGTCTTCGAAATTCGGGATTTGTCGTCATGACAAATTGAATTCAATGACCTCAAACACGTAAATTACACTCAGTTAAGACCTTCACTACAACTCACATCTCAGTGGTCAGTTTCTCATTCAAATGGTCCTCGAAAATAGTATTGTGATAAAAGTATAGAAATATCTGCAAAAAATGTTTTCATCAATTTTCAGAAGCAACATACGAAAGTGAAACCGATTTCTTACCGAAAATGAAGTGTGAACCAAGTAACCGGTTTCAAGTAGAATTTGGAGACAAAATTTATTTATAACAAATGGCAGACGTTTTGATAGCTATCATCAGCCCTTTAGTTGACTTCGGGCTTCACAGAGGAGAGGAGGAACATCAAAGTGAGAAGAATTAAGGAGGGGGAATAGAAGGGTGTTTCAAAGATGTAAAAGAAACAGACACAAAGGTTCAGAAAGGGTAAGATGAGTAGTGGTAGGGGTCGAATATGACATACAGTGGGAGTGATGGTTTTTGAAGTGAGAAGTCAACTGCCGATTAATAGACTTTTTTGCCGCATGAGTATACATTGCCCAGGGTGCACCACGTGGTGGTAAATCTATCGCATACCCCATTTGGAGACTAAAAGAAGTCCCTCAAAAATAATCCTCTAAAACCAGCATTAAAAACAGGAAGAAAGAAAGGAAAGAAGAGGAATCAGCACTTGTGCTTAGTTCTATCCCGTGTTTATTGAGCTGAAACACTCATCGAAAGCGGATGGTGTCGACAAAGACAAGAATGTAGATCTTCAGCAGGCAATGCAATGCTCTGTTCCTAGCATCAGAAGTGAAAGACTATAACCTCGAAAAGAAATAAAGAATGATCCCTATAAAGGTTGAGATACCGATGGTAGAATGGCTGAAACTTTTCCTCGCTAACTTTAGGATTACTGTCCTTCCAATTAATGAACAAAAATTACGATTTTCCTTTGGATTCGTAACATTCACCTGAATTTCCCTTTTTGAATCTAGTTCCAGCCGACGGAAATAGCAAAGAGGCAAACTGTTCGGATCATTACCGGTGAAACGATCCCAAAATAGGTCTCCAAAAAGTGAGAGATTCCTTAAATGAGTTGTCTTCAATGCTAGTCAATCGACAGCAAGACAATTTCTGCATAGTTAGAAATATGATTGGGTGACTTTGTCAAACCATGTAGCTGAACCAAATGAACGAAGAAAGATGAATTTCACAAATAAACTGACTTCGAATTAGTATGGAAACAGCACGATGCTTTTGAACTTCCAGGAGACGAACCAAACGCACACCTTGAAAGAGACTCGACACAATAGGCGCACTGATCGAAAGGAAACGAATGTCCAGAACACCCGGAAGAAGAAGCCTAAAGTACGTGGAAGTTTCAAAGAGAAACTTATTAAATTTAGTCGAAATAATACTTCTGATCTTTTCTACTACTTTGCTCGACGTAACGCCGATATCGTTTGCAAGGTTTATAAGTAATTTAAATACTTACATATAAAATGGACTTAGTTCACATTTAATCGGTTAAAACTAGGTTAATATTGAAACGCAAATTACAGAACTTTTAGGGAGAGGGAGAGGGGGGTGGGCCTTCATTTACCACTTCGGTTTCTTTTTCCTTCTGATTGTTCTCTTCTCGTTGTTTCCTTTCAGTCCAAATGCCTTTGTATCACTTAATCTTATTTGATTACTGTCAATATCCGGGGCATTACTCGAGCTTGCTTTATCACACGCGGAGGTGGCGTTAAGTGCATCATCAAAGCCAACTATTCTCTCAAGCAGCTTAAAGTTGAAACTACTCTGGTTGATGTGTTTAGATGAGTAGTGATGGTGAATTTTGAGATTACTTTATTAAGGCTTGACTCCCCTCCCCCCCCCTAGC